CAATGTAGACGTCCCTTTAAGCATTAAGCGTAAGCAGTAAGCAAATTGACCAATCACAGTCGTTGATTCTTGGACCGTAAGAAGAATCAATGATTGTGATTGGTCAATTTGCTTACTGCTTAAGTTTTTCCACCAGCATGTGCCACCAGCTTAAATCGAAGACGTCGGATTGCTCTTTCATCTCGAAGATGCATAGAAATGAAAAAGATATGAGATCTTGTATCTTTCTCACTTCTGTGCATTTTCGAGATAAAAGAGCAATCCGACGTCTTCGATTTACAATGCCGAACGCAGCTAATGGTATATACTAGAGACACTATAGGTTTGTTTGCGTCGCATGCCCCAACGTGCTCCTATTCGCTCCAACGCACTCTGGTCCGCGTGGTGACGTAAACCAATCAGAATATGTTGGAGCGAGTAGGAGCACGTTGAAGGGACATCTACATTGGAAGTAAGCAGTAAGAAGTAGGAAGTAAGAATAAGAAATTGACCAATCATAGTTGATTATTCTTCTCACATTTGACTGTGGTTGGTCAATTTTTTACTCTTAGTTCTTACTTTTTACTACTTACTTCCAATGTAGACGTCCCTTGAGGCATGCGACGCAACAAACCTTATAAGAGAGACTGGATATATGAAATCATCTCCTGATTGGTCCGCCATGTTTATGCTATTTCCGCTGATTTTCAAATACAAGACATATCAATTTTAACTTTTAACATAGTTTCAAACGTTTCAAAGTTAATAAATACTTCTTGTCATTGTAATTTGTATACTTGTTAATATTAAAATGCCAAATTGTTCACACGAGTCAGTTTTATCTCTTGCTATTTTTTGGCAAAATTGATAGAATTCAAATAAAGAAATATTGAAACCAATAATTTTGTTGCCCAGCAACAACCGACGCGTTGGCGCACAGAGGATAGGAATGTATACCTTTCTCTCTCGCACATATTTTGAACATACTTTTGGTCTACAGCATGGACATAGTATACATAAACCCCGCTTACGGCCAGAAAAGTGAAGTCAATATGTACAGCCCTTCTGTGTTCTGTCTCTTTCTGCACAGACAAAGTGTGTAAAAAAATTTAAGTAAGTCCCGAGCCACAATAGGTGTAGTAAGCTTTAAGCCTTAAGAAATTGACCAATCTAATCTTTAACTATGTAACCATGGACCGCTAGCCGCTATCTTATGTCTGCAGCAAAACGTCTGCAAACGTCAACATCTGCAGCGCCGCCAGGATTAAACAACGGCTATTACGTAAACTATCACATACTTGTAATTTCTATTTTACCATGTGAAAGATATTTTGTGTGTGTGTCCGTTATCATAAATTGCAATTATCATTAAAATACATAG